CATATTGTAGGAATGTACAAGGAACAAACACACACAAGCAGACCTAAATTTCTATTTATATAGATTTATTTTACGGAAAATCCTGAAATAATGGGAGATATGAAGGTCATTTTCGATATCAGACACCAAATAACATACAATTCAGTTAAATTTTCTTTTGGATTTATTTCATCGCAAGTTTGTGTAGCCTCTCTCTCTCAATAATTGAGATTTATGAACATCCCTTCTTTTACAATTCGATGAATATTATAAGATATAATTGTAAAAATCGTTTAAAACTACAAACTATTTCTCACGATTAATTTATTTTCATTTTAAAATGCGAGCTTTAAGCGATAATCGCTGAGCGCGTATTTTTTAAAATATTTTTTTGTAAGAAATAGAAGATGTTTTTATAATAAGCCTGTTAAAGAGCAATTATCAGTTGAAAGCTAGCATTTTAAAATAAAAGGAAACTCTCATATGTTTTTTAGAAAAAGTGGTGTCATTGATATTGTGAAGTTAGAAGATCGAAAGACAGTTGATAGTGACTGGCATACGACAAAATGCCTTCCAGCAGTATTTGTAAAAATCAGGCAAAGCAGACCAAGAGCTTAACTTAGAGGAGTCCTTCTTCACCATGACAATGCAAGACCGCACACCTCAGCCCAAACATTAGACTTTTTAGCCAACTCTGGTGTCCAATTAGTCACTTATACACCATATTCACCAGACCTAGTACCTTGTAACTTTTTTAATTTCCAAAATTTAAGTTATTGTTGAAAGGAATAAAATTTGACACTGATAATGAAGCACTGCAAGCCTTTACCAATGCCGTAAATTCCATCCCCGAAGATGACTGGTGTAAGTGCTCCGTTAATTGGTTTTCAAGGATGAAATCTTGCATAGGTGCTAAGGGTGAATACTTTGAGAAACTCTAAAAATTTGAAAGTTGAAGCTTTAATAAAAAATAAGTGATTGCAAAACCCTTTGGAGTGACCCTTGTACACATAAGTACATATTGAATATAAATATTTATTTTTAAAAGGCGCACCTGGATCTGTGAAATGAAAATAATTTTAAAAAATATTTCGAGGATTTTGCTACCTCTTTGCCAATTTATTGCATAAATCAGATGGAATGTTTTTGTACAAATAATTGATAAAGAGAGGGGGGGGAAGCAATTCCTCGAAATATTTTGAAAATTTTACCTTTCATAGATTCAGGTACGCCTTTTTTCTCTATAATATGTCTATGGATTATATTCCCCCGAAGGCAATATTCCTGAAAATCAATCTAACAGAAAATTGAAATTTGAACAGAGAGAGAAAAAATTGAAAATTAACAAAATGTTATTGACATATTTTCAATACATGTCAGAGTGCAGAGTCCGTACTAATTGAAGTAAGACAATGAGTAATTTACAATAAGGATGATGGTTATATTACAAATAATTATATATATACTATATACAATGAGTATGTACATGGCGCTTGTACTACCTCTGCAATTTGATGAAAGATCGCCATAGGGTCTTCAGTGACACCACGGATTTTGCGATCTACGAAGAAAACGTAGATCTTGTGCTTCGCCTCTGAGGAAGTGGGGATGGCGTTGTCCTCGAGGCCCACCGTGAAGATTCAGGACTGCAGGTCTGGCGGCATCCCGATGATTGAAGACGCCTCTTGGATGAGAGTGCAGACGGCCCTCTAGGATCAATAGCGGTGGGCCAGTGACAGATCGCTGGAGCCGCAGGCGATGTAGACGGGCTGGTTCAACGCCGTGTGTCCCGGATGAGGCAGGCAGTGTTGGACTAGCCGTAGATCGATGTGTACCTAGTGCTTCCCGGAGGGGCAGCGACGGAGGAATGAAAACGTCATGCTGGTGGAGGGCACGTCCACGACAGGTGCACAGCAGCGGTGAAACCAAGGGATTGGAACTGCAACCAGGCTGGGACGCTCCAGCATGCGACTCGCATGTGCTGATGTGCAAGAACGGTGTGGTCGCCCCGCGAAGCAACACGGCTACCGCCAAGGTCCTCTCCTTGTACTAGCTTCTCGCGTTGTAAGCCACCGACTTTGGCAGAATCCCTTAAGAGCAGATGCATCGTGACAAGTTCTTCTTGTCAGCCTTCCGATGAGAGACAGATCAATGCCCGCTATGTCGCGGAAGCGCATTCCTCTCCACCTTAAAGGAGCCCGAAACGATAGGGTCGTCAGGAACCTGCAGGCGCCGAAAATGGGCAGGTTTAGTAGGGAATATGTGAGCACCACCCGGTAGTTCAGGCTCAGAATGGAGGAAACCTGCTCCCATTGATTCAGCAGCTGACGGCGACGTGGAAGCAGCCAAGAACCTGAGGACAAGGGACCATCCATGATCCGGTCTCCGCCAAGAGTAGGCGTTATTTTCTCCTGCTCTGCATGCAGCCTAAACAACCTTAAAGCAGGCGAGCTGGAGTTTGGACCTAATATCCAGCAGTTATACGCCACCGATGGACACAAGACAGGCCATGAGACCCTCTGAGAGCCATGCGGCGCGATGGCAGAACCTCCAGACGAACCACATCAACCTTGCCTACAATTTGGCTAGGTTTCGTCGCTGGGCAGGTAGCCGTGTAGATGGTGGAGCACCGCCTCCAGTACCAGCGAATTATGGCGCTCTGCCATCTAAAATGTTCACGTGAGCGTTCGGAATAGGCCTCTTTTGTTTTTAATATCAACCAACACTTGACCTTTTTTTATTTTTTCTTATATTTTAGCACAGATATATACACACACATATATATATTCATCAATTGAATTCAATACCAGCAAGTGAAGCCATATTATTATAATCCACTCAAACCCTAACACTTGAAAATAAAGAGTTTATAAATTTCATAAACAGTTTCTACACAGCTGTTTTAAAAACTGAACTTTAGACAGTAGAACGTCTCTAAAGGTTGGCAAAACAATAGCATTGTTTATGTGGGTATGGAGAATCTTTAGAATATTAGTGGCATTCAACGCGCAATAGATAATTGAAATTTTCATTTAGTTAATAATAGTTTTTAAGTGTAGACTTCAACTAAATATCGCGCATCCCCTTCACAATATATGAACTTCTTAATTAACCCATTTTAATTATGTTTTTATTCACATCCTTTATTTCACGCTTGATCGATCGGAACTTTAGTGTTGAAAGGTAGTTAACCATTCATCGCTCAATTTCTTTGATGAAATTTTAGTTTATTCAAAATGAGAGCAATTGTTCGACCCGAGATAATTAACTACGGATTAATATTGACTAAGATACCCCAAGAAATGCATATATAATAATGGTATATTGGAATTATCGTTTAGAAATTCTTATTGATAGAAATGATGTATTTTGATTTGAATATTTTTCAATGCAATATTTACATACACTATCTTTTTATCAGAAAGCTTCTGAATCTTAAACCAATCGCTTTTTTTCTTATCCCTAGTACACGTAGTACAGGCCATGATAATCTCGGTGGGTAGAAGTAGGTGACTGCTTTTGCTGTAAGTGCACCACATGTCTACGCATGTGAAAAGCAGTTCGGCTTTGCACTTACAAATTTGCCAGAGCCCCGTTTGGTTATTTGCTCTCGCTGGTGGGGTTGGACTTTTGCAAGAATCGGGGGACCATTGGAGCATTTTTTCAAACAGAAAAAAGTGCCCAATGCGGGAATCGAACCCGGATCGTAGTGGTCGAAAGCCAACGGTTTAGACCACCGACTCCCTCGTACCCTGAACCGTAAACCAATCGTACCCTGAACGAGTCCTCCGAGCTAGTTATTAGTAAAATTACATACAGTAAAGCCTGTTTTTATTGAACTTTTGGGGACACTAGTAAGAATATCTATATAGATGGAAAGTATTGTAAATTCCAAAGAATTTCTAAATTTAACAATATACGGATTTCCACAGGTTTAAACTCTATGATTTTGGTAATATGTGCTCATGGCGAAAAAAAGGTTTCTGTATTGATTTGCATATTTTCTTCCTGTTCGAAAGAAATAACTCAAAAATGTTTTATATTTATGAGGTACTTGGTCTATAAAAGGACTATAGTAAATATCAATTTTGATAAGAAGTCTCAACAAAATATTCAAATTAAAATGTATATTTAATATACATTTTTAAAATAAATTTATTTTAAAGTTGTCCGACTTTTAAAACTGTCACACAATATTTTAACCATTTCAAACAATATGTTCGTGTATGGTTCTCGCAACAGCAATGATCCAGAAGTCGTTCGATATTATGGGCGTTTGAGAACTTTTAGATAAATATGATAATTTGCATATTATATATGCGTGGATTTAATTTAGATATGTAGCATCACGCTAGGAAACAATTGAAAAATCTCATTTATTGCACGACTGTCTTGGCCACAAAAAACTTCCTTCTATATCTTTTCTACCTTATTTATATAATTTCTCTAAACTTTAAACAAATATGTGACAACATACTTTCATTTTTTCCAGTTTTATAAAGTTGAAATTAACAAAAGTCTTTCATACTCCAACCCAATCGTATTTTAAAATCACTTTTTATTTTTCGCAAACACGAAGGAAAAACATGCAAATCACCATTGAACCTTTTTTTTCCATTTTTCGTCTTTGAACAAATTCCCGAAGTTTTTAAATTTAGATTCGGAACACCCTATGTTTCCAGATAGAAAATGACCAGAGGCACATTTGGAGACTTTTTACATCAATAAAAATAAATGAACTTGAAAAAATCTATAATAAAATTACATATATAATGTGTGTGTGAGAGAAAGAGAAAGCTTTATGATATCATTATATCTCTAAATTTTTATCTTTTATCCATAAGCTCGTTCGTATGAATTTTATTAACAGTTTTATTATATTCCTCAATTGGATGCTTCTCTCTCTACGAACAAGAAATTCCGTTTTTGAAAAATATTCAAATAAGTGTGAAAAACGAGAGTTTTATTGAATAGATTCGCAATTGGCTTAATAAGTCGACCAAATAAAGTTAATCTAAATTAAAAGTTCCTACAAGTGAATTTTCATATAAATTGCGCTCTCTTTACATATTTATAATAACTAGCCAAATAGACCCGGCTTCGCGCGGATATTAATAAAAATATGGCTTTAAAAAGTTTATATTAGAATGTACTAAAAACATTTCAGCTAGGAGAAATGATCAACGTACATATATTGAGTGAAGAGGTAAAATATTTAGTGGTAAAAAACCCTGCTCATCAGTTGCTTTATATTAAATCACATTAAGTTCATATATAGGATTTTAACTTTTAATTAGACTATTTAATTTTAATTTAGACACTTTCATTTTTATATAGACATTTTCAATTTTAATTTAGACACATGGACTTTTCTATAAAAAGCCCATGTGTCTAAATTAAAATGAAAAATGTCTAAATTAAAATTTAAAATATCTAAATAAAAATGAAAGTGTCTAAATTAAAATGAATAATTCTGAATATAATTAAAATTTTCTAATTAAAACTAAAAACCTATAGATCGTTTCCCTTGCCGTATTTGACTCTTATAAATACAAATGTTCAATGGCGGTAGCTGAAATATTTATTTTCTCCTTTTTAGTAAATTTTAATAAAAGCCTTTTGAAAATTTATTTTTATTAAATAATCATTTACTGTAAATTTTTTTCCGGATTATTAACCGAAAGGTCTTTAAGGCCATCTGATTCTAGGATGTAATTTTTTTAGTCTTGAATTCTAAATGTTCAAAGTTATCATTATTCTTACTTTTCAAATTTTATAATTAAGTTTTTATTTTAATTATATTTTTTAAATGATTTTATATTTCTGACACAAATATCCTCTTAATTAGTTATAGTTTATAGTTCATACTACTGATGTCTATTTGAGGAATGTCGGCAGTTCATTACACCCCACAAATGGATACACCTCTTTTATACTTTTAATACAAATCCTATTGTACAGTCTATTCCAGACAACACACATCACGGTCACCTAGAAATATGATATTGTCGAGCGTGACCCCTCCGGTTCTTCGCGACTACCCCGTTTCCTCCTTCGTGGACTACCTACCCCAGGCTCCCGTTGCTTCTCCTCTGCAGTCCACCCAAAGACCTCCGAGAACCACCGCTTAAGTGGAACTCATTTCCTCTGGCAGTATCTCTCGGCCTTACCACTGGTGGGAGGACACGAGACTTACCAGAAGAGTAGCAGCAGCTATGTCATGACAGCAACCGCCAAAATGACTTCTAAACACTCCTTTTTAATTGTCATTTCTACCACGCATTAAATATAACTAGAATAACAATTAACGGGTATTTACAATTATTTACACACCAGAGCCCATATAAACATGTATTTACAACTATTTGCTCCAGGAAACAGGAACACAGCAGTCGGCGATTCCCACACAAGTTGCATACCAAAAATAGGCGAAAGCGCCATCTATTGGCGGAGGTTGTAGGTGTTTTGAGGCCCATACACGCGACAATATTTTGTTCACTTTCGTTTCTAGCTTGATTGAGTAAGTGTATAATATTTTAGACTTCTACGTGTTCTGGAAGTATATTAAGAATTGTTTAAAAAATTTAAGAAATTTATAGAAAATTAGTCCCTTTCCGACAACCCCGACCACATTTTAAAAAACTTTTATTTAACTTTCTTCTATGTCTGTCTTCCTGTTTACAAATCTTGTAATTGATATTGTAGCGAAGCATTTATTATTTATTAACAGAGTATCCTTTTTTATGTTTATAAATTTCTACTCTGTAAACTTACCTCATTGCTTATCTTTTGTTTATCATTCATAGTTTTTTCTTGCATTGAATAAATTGCTGTCATCCTGTCTTTCCTAATTTTCCATGTGGCAATATTTTATTTACTTATCGAGCACCTAGAAGTATAATATTTAATAAACTTGTCAAACCTGATGTCAATGCCGTTTAACCAATTTCCAGACTTCTGGGTGGTTGGGAATTGACAATTTCTGAATTTCCTCTTTCAAATTTTGTGTTTGATATTTGATATACTTGCGACCACCTAGATGTCTGAAATTTGATGTTATTGTTGTTGCTTATTCCTCAAGTCGTTTAAACGATCTCCATTAAGTCCCATTGCCTCAGCTTTTCTATATATAAATATTAAATACTGTCATGACTGAAATTTAGTACACTTGTTTGAACCTGTTGACATTGCGAATTAATATTTTTTAAAACTCATGGGAGGTCGGGCTATAGTCAATATAGTTCAATATTTAATTTAGAATTTTGTGCTGAATTTTAATATATTTCCATACCACACATAGAAGTCTGAAAATGTGTGTGTGTGTTTGTGTGTTCACACTTGTTCAATACAACTAATAATGCGAATATTGACAAAATTTCAAATTTTGTGATTAATTGATGTGATTGATTCAGTAGTATTAATGGGTAGAAGAATAACAAGCATCTCTCGATTTAACATTTTATTTCTATGGATTAGTTTACTTCCATTTTCCATATTTTAAATATCGCCTGAAATATTCAGTGTATTTGTCATTTCTGGTATTTGAATACAACTATTGATGCCATCTCTCTATCTTATATCTATTGATGTGTAGATGTGATTTGCTTTCTACTGAAATGGTATTTAATCGGACAGGTAGGTTGTCACCTTAGAGACACTTTTCAAAAGTTCATCTCCAGGTTTTGGAGAAAATATTGCCTCTACGTACTTATGATACAGTTAAACATGTCTATAGCGCCCCCTCTTGGGACTCACCAAATTAGGGTGCTATAGAGAGGGGGGTGCTATAGACAGGTTTAACTGTATCGATTTTAATATTTACGTGGCCGTTTGGAGCTCTGCAATATAAAGATTGATATTTAGAAAACTAACATACCCATATTCTATATATGTAGATTTATATATAGACCAATATTCAAAGAAAATACATTCTAATACTTTCCTATCTATATTCTTGTAAATTAAATTTGAATTCACTAAACCAAGGATTTTTTTCACTGCTCTTATATTTTTCGAAATATAATTCCTTACAGATCGTATATTTTAATGGAAAAAATATAATTATTTTATTAATAACTGATATATTTTTTCCATTTTAAATAGTTCACGTACTACAGCTTCCATGAACTAGTTATTAAAATGTTGAACTATAGAATCATCACTAGTTGTACTCTAATTTCGGCCATGTCTAGGGGAACCTTTCTTCTATATGTGAATAGCACAAAGAAAGCAGACGATTCTAGGAGAGAGTGTAACTCTAACAAATATTTACTTATATTTATTTCTTGTGATGTATTAGCGCGTCATCTGTTATGAAAATTCGAAACTATTATAGACGCTTATGATTCTTTTTCAAAAATAAAACAATTTATACTGCCCTTACTGTAATGGAAAAATTAATGGGAGGGCCTGGCTCATCAGTGGTGAACCCTCCCAGCGGTTTCGCCAGTTTAAGACGGCTGTTATATTGCATTTTTCGATCTTCCTTTTATAGTGATACTGATGCTAGACTCTTGGAATGGGTATTTTAGATGAACTATGGACATAAGATTTGAGGACAGCAGAAATACATATAATTATAAATATATAATATGCTTCGACCAATCGTTCCTCCGCAAACATCAATTTGTGTCTATTATTAGAACATTATACAAGTGTTTATTTACACATTGTACTTGTATTATGATGTATTAGCGCGCCATCAGTATCACTATAAAAGGAAGGTTGAAAAATGCAATATAACAGCGGTATGGTAGATTAAACTGGCAAAACCG